TGGCTTCTCCCACCGCCCGGGGGCCGCCTCCGCTTCCCTGCCTGCCTCCTGCATCCTCCTGCCTGCCAGCCCACCCGCCGTGCTGAGGGTTCCATCTCCTCTCACCCACACCATCATCCCTCTTGTTTTCCCCAAAAGGAAACCTGCATTGGTGCTGTGTGTCCTTCCGCTGCGGAACGGGCACGGGGTGCTGGCCAGGTGTGGGGTCGTGAGGATTTCTAGCCTCTGTGCTACTGTACAGGCAGGGAGGTGTCGAGGGACTCTGCCTCGCAAGGGGGGAAACTTGACTTCCCACAAGCTGTATAGGGCACACGTACTCTGGTGTTGCGGTGCTGAGGCTTCTGAACCACATACCGTTTCTGCTTCAACTCTTGATAGCTGGGAAATGAGAACACTTTTGTGACCTTTATTTGCAGCTTTCCACAGGAAGACCTTGGCTTTTGGTGTTTCCCCCCACCCCCATTAAAAAGAAAAATATCCCTCTCCTGTTTTTAACGTTTTCAGTAGCAGAGATAAAAGACCACAGTGAGCCTTGACCTCTGACTTTCAAGGTGCTCTTTCGACAGAGCTACAGTGGGGTTTTGGGTTGCTCAGACCTTAACCGAAAAGATCAGAGGATTCAGTCTTTCACGTAACATTTTATTCCCCCAAGTATTATTCAAGTGTTACTTGCAGTTACTAGAACAGTTCACAGTCTGAATGAAAGTCCTCCCTCCTCCTCATTGCCCAGACTGTGTTTGCCTGATGCGTGAGTGGCTCAGTTTGTATCTCCAAGTCTGCAGTCTTCTAAAATAAGCAAACAGATGGACATGTGAAACAGAAAAAAATACAAACAGGAAAATGTTCCCTTCTGCAGGAAGAGGATGGACACCAAAGAATAAGAAAGGCAGAAAATCTTGCCAGGCATTTCTGTGGTGCATTCCCTTTGGCCGTTGGACCCCTGGCTGGATGTTCTTGGCATGGTCTAAACGCCAAACAAGTGCTGTGCAATGGCCAGGCAAAGCTGCTGATCCTGGGTAAACGTGCCAGTGAAACGAGCAAAGGAGAATTGCTAAAAGAAGCCCGGAGCTGTCTGAATACACAGGAAAGTGAGGCTGACCTGGAGTTACAAAGACAGTGGTAACAGGAGAGGAAAAGTTACCATTGTCCCGGTTTGGGGTTACAGGTTTGCAACGTCCTCCAAGGCCCGCAGTGCACATTTCTGGGATCCATCATGAAGCAAAATATTCACCCACTCCCCAGGTAGTTCTCTGATGGGTGTCTCCTTCTTTTCCCAATGCTTCTGCACTCATCGTCTCCCTTTCCCTTTCTCTGCTTTCTCTAGCGTGGAGATGATGTGGTGCTTAGAAAACACTCACAGCAGATTCCCCCATTCTTCCCGTCGTTCCTCTTCCTCCCAGTGAAGGAGACTGTCTCAGTCCTGCGCTCCGTACTTGCCCTTCCCCAGGCTGGGTGGAGACCTAGGCCAAGGCTGTTTCTCCTTTGACGCTTCCAGTGTCCATTCTTCCTGGGTAATACATTCTTCAGCTGTGTCAGCAGAGCTGGTGCAGGAAAAAGTAAGGTCCCAGTCATCCTTTCCTCTTCATTTACCCCCCCAAGGAAGCTCTAGCCCTGGTGATGTCAGTGGAAGAAACATGAAGTGGTTCCAGTTTCTTTCTCCATCTTCCCAGCGAGTCTTGTCTGGTAAATACCATCAGTCAGAGCAAATCCTTGATGAGAAGGTCCCACGCCTGAGACCTTGGCCCCTATGCCTCTGTCACAGACCTGCTGTGGTTCAGCCCACCCTGGTTCCTTAGGAGAGCTCTCTTCAGCTTGCCCTGGATGGTGCAGAGCACAGCCCTCCGGAAGCTGCTGGACAAGAAGAAGAAGATGACTGGGTCAAGGCAGCTGTTGAGGGCTGAGAAGCAGAGCACAAGCTCATTAGCGAGGTGCAGACCCTGCTTCCAGGGCAGACTAGAAATGGCCCCCGCCTGTGCGAGGATGTAAGGAATGCGGACGATGTGATAGGGGGTGAAGCATACAATGAAGATGATCAGGACTACGAAGGTCTTGGCGATGGCTCTCATGCCGGTCCTTTTGTTGAGCTGCTGAGCTTTCACTGAAGAGACTCTGTGGAGCTTGGCAAATATCTTGCTGTAGAAGTAGAGGAAGAGCAGCAGCAGGATGAAGAAAGTAGCTACTGCGACCATGTTTAAAGCTGCTGCTGTAGTGCTTTTGCTCCTGAAGTGGAAACACTTGTGGTCACAGGACCCTTTTCCTCTCGTCTCAAAAAAGAAAGGCAGCATGAACACTGTGTGCACAAACCAAACCACCCCAGAGGCCACGGTGCTACACGACACAGTATGAATCCTAAATTTCTGCAGGGGCCGGATGATCTTCAGGTAGCGGTCGAGGCTGATCAGGCTGAGGAATGTGATGCTGACATACATGTTGAGGTAGAAGAAGGCCCCGATGATGTTGCAGAAGATCAGAGGCTCGCTCTTGCTTTGAAAGGCGATGCGAAAGGGCAGGCAGAGGGAGAGCAGCAGGTCGGAGAGCGCCAGGTTCCTCATGTACACAGTGATGGAGGTCCTGCGCTGCGTGCCGCACGAGAACACCCAGAGCGCCAGGGTGTTGCTGAGCAGCCCGATGATGAAGATGAGGGAGTACATCACAGGGAGCGTCACAGAGAGGAACTCATCTTGGATCTGGTAGCAGGAATTGCTGAGTCGGTGCTCTGTGAGCTGGTTGGCAGGAAAGGGGGTGCTCAGGGAGTCCATCGTTAGGGCCACAGATCTGGAAAGAAAAATGCAGGAGGTGTTGGAGCAAACATCTGCATGAGCTGGCTCCATACAGGCATGGTCACTTGTAGGTATTGAAGACCCCTGTGGTACCTCTGTGGTTCCCCGGTGACCCAGGTCACTGCAAACACAACTTTGCAGTCCCCCAAACTGTTATGTGAAGGCCACCAGCTTGCATAGCACACAGAAAACCGGACTGGGGACTTAGGAGCATGAGTCAGCCAGGCTCACATGCTGGCTTTTTGGCACTGCCTTCTGCCCTGAGGGGCTTAGACCTGCAGGGAAACCTCCACAGATAATCTGCCTGCTCAACGCTGGTGAGAAAACAGGCCACCACGCTCCTGCCACAGGCTGGTCCGGATGGCCGGCAGCACTCCACTGTCCTAGGTGTGGTAACTGGCTTTTCTCCCGGCCTCTCTTGTGCTGTTCTGTGCTACTCTCTGCTAAGGAAGGACGTGAGACTGGAGTGGTGGAAGTCGGCTGCTGTGCTCTAGGTGATAGCAAAATCTGGGGCTCCTCAGCAGAGGAAAAACATATTTTTGATTGTACATGAGCAACCAAATGGGTATAGCAAACATGAATTCAGACCACATGCAGCATGATATGTACAGGTATCTTGACGTTGTTGAGGAACACTGCTGAGGTCTGCCAGTGCTCCCTACTGTCCCCTCTGAGGCTGGGAAATCAAACCCACACCCGGCTGTTCCTTCGTCACCAGTCTGCTGCTCTCACATCAGATAGCCGGGCTCCTCTCAGGAGCAAGGCCCCCTCCACTGGATCTTCCTTCCTGCCCAGGTCTCCCTCATGCCCATCCCTTCTCGCCCAGTGATCCCAGCACTTGCAAGGTGCAGGGCAGTGGGACAGGGCTGCAGCTCTCGGTCAGCAGTGACAGAGCAGGGCATGCACTAGTGCTGCTGTTCTCGGTGTTTAGGCTGGAGCTCTGACTCCGGGCGCTGCATGCGTGTGTGTGTGCCTGTGTGGCTTCAGTCTCAGCCTTCTTCTCATGGTTTTCCCCACAGCCGCTTTTCCATCCATGGTGCAAGGCCACGGGGCTCCTGCGCCAGCGAGGGAAGGCAGGGAGCGAGCTCACATTGGGGATGGAGGCACTGCAGTCATGGTGGCCCAGCTCTGCCCGTTCCTGATGGGGACTGACCCCAGAAGCACTTTGCATGCCCATGAGCTCCTGTTTGCCCCAGGTGGGGATGGGAGACCTGGCTCCTTCCAGCCCCTCACCCTTCACTCCCCCCCCGCTTTCCATGACGTCGAGTTACCTGTAGCTGCAAAAACCTCCAACTTCCTCCCCATCTGCCACAACTTTTCTAATAGACTTCTCTGCTCCCTTAATACGTCCCCAGTGCAGACTGCAGGGCAGAGCCAGCCTCGGGCACTTTAGGACAGCGGCAGCAGAGATAGCTGGATTTGCTCTTGTGACACACAGTGCTTTAGAAACACCATGTGTTGAATGCCTCAAAGTCACAGTTCTGGCTTGATGCAAGGGGGTGATGCCACCGGGCACCTGACTGCTTCAAGCTGGATCTTTGCAGCATCCGTGTGCGCCTGCATATGCACCCGCCGCAGTGCCTCGTACCTGGGGGGCTGTGCAGGTCCCTGCAAGGGCAGGCGCCGACCCCCCTGTGTGCATACAGCCTGACTACCGGTACCAGCATATAGAGAGCTGCGTGTGTGTCACGCAGGGGTGAGTGCATGCATGTACAGCTCTGTGTGGGTATGTGCATGTAAGTACAATTGCGTGGCAGTGATGTGCGAGTGAGAGTTGGTCCGGTGATGCACACGCTTTGTGTGTGTCTGCACGCTTGTGACTACTATGGAGCTGTGACAGTTTGCCTGAGTGTGCACAGCTGTGCCACAGTCCCTGTGCCTGTGTGTGACTCCGGCCATGCTTGAGCCCATTGTGTGGCAGATGTCCCTGCCTGTCCTGAGCCTTCTGCTGAGCCTGTGGCTCTCCCCACCCAGACCCAACCCAGCGTTTTCCACCAGCCATAGCCCCAACCTGAGTTAGGTGGCCTCAGTACCACCCAGTTCCCTCTTCCCCCCTGACACTCACCCCCATGACAAAAATACCCCAATGACTCATAGCAGGAAGAAAAGTCACCCCAGAGTCACCTACCTCTCTCAGCACCTCTCCTCCGCTCCTTCCCCTGCTGTGACAGCGGTTCCTGCTCTCATCGGGGCCCCTATAAGCCCTTGGCTGGTGACGACATCTCTCACTGTGACAAACATCCTCCACGGTTTCCCTGCTCAATGTGGGCTTGATGGGTTTTTTGCCTTCTGACCTTGGAGAGGGAGTGCATTTTGCAGGCGTTTGTCCTGTTGTAGGCTCTTCAACACACCCCATGCACCCAATTGCCCGAGCAAGCACTGGCCACAGGAGCAGCTCATGTGAATGAGATAATTTGGAGACCAGTGGTCCAGCCTAGGGTGCTTCTCTCTCCAAATTGGCTCATTCACACCAGCATAGGTCAGTCCCAAGCTGAACCTGATGTGCCTCATGAAAGCATCATCCACTGCCCTCAGGGACCATGGGGGATGCCGAGCACTTACAGGAGAGCTCAGCCCCAGGGAGATAGGGCACGGTGGTGTGCCACCACTCACAGCTACCCCACGGCATCAGAGCTGTGAGCATGGGTCTATGCTGGCAGAAGGAGGGGAGTTCTCCCAGCTTTTGCCCATGCTGAGGGGGAAGCGATTCAGCTGGAAGTCCTTGAAGCATCCACTTCCTTGGAGACCTTTGGCTTGATCCTGCACTGGCTTCAACCCTGCCCAAATGATATTCCCAGTATTGCCTGCACCGAGCGCCTGGCTGGGGTGGTGTGGAGACAGACCAGAGCTGCCAGGGCAGCTCCTCCAGGTGGAGGAATTGCACAGAGAGGGGACAGGCGGCTCATCCCCCAGCCCTCCTCCCAGACACCGAAAGTACAACAGCCACGTGCGTGGAGCACATTGTTCTGCAAACTGTTTCCACGTTACTGGATTTAGCTCACAGAGCAGCACGAGGTGCGCCCACACAGACACAAATAGCCCCAGCAGGCAGGGGAGGAATGGGCAGGTGACGGCAGTGGAAAGGAGAAATCCTTTCGTATGCTGCTTTCCGCCAGCTGCTGCGGCAGGGTCTGGCCAGGGCTGAGAGAGCACACGGAGCTGTACACAGCTGTCCTGACCAAAGATGGGGAAGCACCCCCCGTGCTGTCAGCACTGCTGTACAGCCGCGGAATGGGAGGCACCAACAGCCAAGGTGTCTGGGCAGAGCTGGGCACAACTCAGGGTCGAGCCCAGCATCCTTCCAGCCCCACAGCAAGCGCTGCAGCCCCTCTTCCCAGAAATACAACTGTCTTCAACCACCCGGGCAGTGTCTCGTGCCCCCTGGAGGGACCTGATCTCAGGATCTGTTCATCTGCAACTCACGTTCCAGCACAAGCCCCAAAGGGCAGTAAATGAAGCAGGTCCTGAGGAGTGAGTCAGTCCTCCAGCCACGTATGTCCCAATGTCAGCAGTGCGAAACTTCTGTCAGCAGCACAGGCAGCGCTGAGCTCTTGGCTCTTGTGACCAGAGCTTGGGGGCTGCCGGGCAGCTCCTGGGGGCTACGGAGGTCTGAGCCCCTTGGGGAAAGGAGGTGTCTACATCCTACCCTCCTGCTTCCCACCCTTCAGCCGCCCTGCGAGAGGTTTTAGGTCTGGCAGCATTCAGACCCCTCAAAAGTGGGCCAAGCCACCGTTCATACGGGCTGGAGAGAAACCCCTGCCTGTACCTGCCTGTGCTCTTACCCCTCGGCAGGGACTCGCACAGGAAGCCTGTGGGCAGGCGCTGCGCTGCCAGGGCTTGTGTCAGCACCAGCCGCCCTCCCGCAGCAATGCTGCTTCCCAGGTCATGGGAAACCTGCTGCTTCTCTGCCTCCCCTCGGCGGGACTCCCCCAGCCCACGGGCGGCCTTTCCAGTACCGGCAGCATCAGACTTGACCCTGAAGCCTAACCCAGACCTGGGGATGGGCTGGGTCACCTGCCATCCTCTGTTCCACCTCAAGGAACACACCGACTCAGTGGCTCTGGGAAACAGGAATGAAATCCAGATCCACAGGGTGCTTTACCAGCAGGTGCATGGGGCTTGATTTGAAACCCCTTGGCTGTGCTCCTCAGACACCCCGCGCCCAGACAGCGTTCCTGCCCTGGGTGAGCTCAAGGTGCTGCTTCCCTCCAGAGAGAAACCACGGCTTCCCTGCAGGGCCAGCGTAGGAGATGAGTAAGGGAGGAGGGTTTGTTCCAGCTGTGGAAATCTTAAAGCCTGAAGAACGGAAGTCAGAGGCTATCAAACCCCTGATTTCTCCGGCTTGTCCCATCGTCTTGTGCTGCATCAGCTTCACCCACAGCCCTTGCTGAGTAATTAGGAAAGATAAACCTAAGCAGACCTGCCAGCCGGTAGGCAGAGGAGTAACTGTAAACTGAGAAAGGCCAGGAGATTTGAAAGTGCATTTCTACAGCATCAGCTGTCTGGTGTCCACCACTTTCAAACATATCTATATGGATTAGCACACCGCGACACTTGCATGCCCTGTGTTCCTGCCCAGCCCTTCTGCAGTGTCCCAGCTTCTGAAAGGGCCCAGGGATAGAGCCGGGATTAGTGAGCTCCTTGTTCCTGTCACCCTGGGTGGGAGCCACAAGGGCGTAACGGAAAGAAGAGAGGCCAGGCTTGCAGGGAGGGATGTCTTCTGTTAGACTGGCTGGTACCATTGGGATGGCAGCAGCCTGACTGCACAGCCCAGTCCAGAATAGAGGTTGACAGAACGGAGGGGTTTGCTGGGACTGGGAGCAGGAATAAGGTCTTTAGTCCTGAGGACGGGTGGTTACAGCCCATGCTCGGCTTCAAGCACAGGAAGCACCCAGGGGGCCGCAGCTCACAGGCTGTCTTGCAGCACAGTGAGACACTGACAGCTTATGGTCTGCGCAGCTGTTGTGAGCTGGTGTTTT